CACTACCATACTGCACTGCTCAAAAAAATTTAAGGAACACTTATTAGAGTATAGTATCAAGTCAATTAAACTCCTGGGGTATTAATCTGGTCAGTTAAGTAGCAGAGGGCGTTGTTAATCAGTTTCAGCTGCTTTGGTGTTAATGAAATTAACAGCAGGTGCACTAGATGAGCAACAATGAGATGACCCCCAAAACAGGAATGGTTTTACAGGTGGAGGCCACTGACATTTTTTTCCCTACTCATCTTTTCTGTTTTTCACTAGTTTTGCATTTGGCTAGGGTCAGTGTCACTACTGGTAGCATGAGGCGATACCTGGACCCTACAGAGGTTGCACAGGCAGTCCAACTCCTCCAGGATGGTACATCAACACGTGCCATTGCCAGGTTTGCTGTGTCTCCCAGCACAGTCTCAAGAGCATGGAGGAGATTCCAGGAGACAGGGAGTTACTCTAGGAGAGCTGGACAGGGCCGTAGAAGGTTCCTAACCCATCAGCAGGACCGGTATCTGCTCCTTTGTGCAAGGAGAGGAACAGGATGAACACTGCCAGAGCCCTACAAAATTACCTCCAGCAGGCCACTGGTGTGAATGTCTCTGACCAATCAGAAATTAGGGTGGCCTGAGGGCTCGACATCCTCTAGTGGACCCTGTGTTCACTACCCAGCACCATAGAGCTCAATTAGCATTTGCCATTGAACATCAGAATTGGCAGATCCACCACTGGCATCCTGTGCTTTTCACAGATGAGAGCAGTTTCACCCTGAGCACATGTGACAGACATGAAAGGATCTGGAGAAGCCGTGGAGAATGATATGCTGCCTGTAACATCATTCAGCATGACTGTTTTGGTGGTGGGTCAGTGATGGTCTGGGGAGGCATATCCATGGAGGGACACACAGACCTCTACAGGCTAGACAATGGCACTCTGACTGCCATTAGGTATCGGGATGAAATCCTTGGACCCATTGTCAGAGCCGACGCTGGTGCAGTGGGTCCTGGGTTCCTCCTGGTGCAAGACAATGCCTGACATCATGTGGTGAAAGTATGCAGGCAGTTCCTGGAGGATGAAGGAATTGAATTAATCATTGAATGGCCCCCACGCTCTCCTGACCTAAATCTAATAGAACACATCGCCGCCAGATTGCACCTCAGACTGTCCAGCTCAGTGATGCCCTGGTCCAGATCTGGGAGGAAATACCCCAGGACACCCTCCGTCATCTCATTAGGAGCATGCTCCGACATTGTCAGGCATGCATACAAGCACGTGGAGGCCATACAAACTACTGAGTACCATTTTGAGTTGCTGCAATTAAATTTCAGCAAAATGGACTAGCCTGCTGTATCATTTTTTCACTTTCCTCTGTAGGTTGATCAATTTTATTTCCATCAAACGATATGACTTCCTTACGTTTCTAACACATTACCTAGTCCATATCAGTATAGATATCCAGCATGATATTTTTACTCATTGAGATCTGATGTGTTTTCAAAGTGTTCCTTGAATTTTTTTTTTTTTTGAGCAGTGTATGTTATGCTGGCAGCAGTTAAAAGTGTAAAACTTAGTAATGTTTATGTATTGCAGAGATGTGCTGCATGCTCTCCTTTTTATTTTGCCTTCACGATCGCTTTGAAACATCAGCCTGAGGGTGTTCTGTCTGCTACTTATCTAAAGAAATCTCCCGGTCTGTGATGGCATGTCATAGTTCATGCATTCCCTACAACAGTTTAAAGCAGAACTACACTGCATCTGAGCACCACAAAACAAAAATGCTATTTAATTCATTTTTAGTACTCCCCCATCCATTCCTGTCTCCATGCTTTATTTTGCTCAGAAATCATTTTAAAAATCACCCTCTACCATTTCTGGCTATGGCCATCCTGAGTAAGAGCAGATGATTCATGTAGCGTTTACTTCCTCAAATCCATCTGCCCTTAGCTCAGGCATACACACAGGAGGGAGTGCGTAGCCAAGAAAACCCCTCCTCCCCTTCTGAACACTCCTAAGATGTATGACATCATTTGCCTAGGCATAGAAACCAGGAAGTAACTGAAGAAATGTAAATAAAAAGTTTAGAACAAGTAAATATGATATACATTCCTATCCATTTATTAATAGCAGCATGAGGATTACAAATAATCAATGTTGACTAAGATTGAATTTCTGCTTACATTTTTGGCAAGATATTTTCTCATCCTCGCATAAAGAAATACAGACACTGCAAGCTGTTCTTATTACAAAACACTGCGTTTGCAATTGGGGGTTGTAATGGTGGTGGACCTTCCCATTTAGAAATCATTTTGAGAAAGGGCACAGGAAAACTGTTCCCTGAGAAAAGAGAGAGTATGGATCTCCAAAATGAGTTTCCTAAAAATCTTGCAATAGAGGGTATTGTATTTTCTTAACACAATTGGAGTTAGATTTTAACTGCTTTGCTGAGAAAAGCCTGTTTATAGAGTTCCATAGCTCAGCCTTAAGCTGGTCCAGGGGCAGACTGAGAACTCATGGGGCCCCCGGGCAATAAGAAATCATGGGGCTCCTGTGTCCTTGCCCACACTCAAACCACACCCAAAAAAGCCTATGAAAGGTATCAGGGGCATCTCATGGGGCCCCCTACTGACCCCGGGCAGTGCCAGAGTGCCTAAATGGTCAGTCCGCCCCTGAGCTGGTCATAGATGGATCATAATTTAGCTGGTTCAGCACAGACTGGACGAATTTCAATCCATCTATGGCCATTCCTGTTCCAGAGAAATCGATTTAATGATCGACTTTTCTCAAAAACCAACTTGTTGGTAGATTTTCCTTCGTTCAGCACTGCAGCCAATTGGCTGAAGCACTGATCAATGTATCCTGACAGCAGAGGAGTTCCCATTGTCAGAATAGAAAACAGCAGGGCGGATTCCTCCATCCACCTCGCTTGTGGATAGGGGAAACTGTTCAGTTTTTTCAATCAGCCCACTGGCTGATTGAAAAAAAAATTGATCAGTTTGTTCAATTAAGCTTTGACAAAACAAAAGCTGGAAGCTGATTGGTTTCTATGCAGAGCTTCACCTGATTTTGCACTATCCAGTTGTAGTAAATCAACCTCACTATGTATTTGTTTCATTACTAAACAAGGTCCACTTTTTTCCCCCCACAAGCCCCCTTCCCCACCAATGCCAATTCGCTTGCACGCACGCACGCACGCACGCACACACACACACACACACAGTGTAGGTCAGTGCTGATTTTTAAATGCAATTGCCGGCTTTTTTTTTTTTTTCTTCACTATAGCTCACAGAATTAGCTGTCACTTTCCCCGAAGCTAAAGGATACTTTTTTCTTTTAGCTCGGGAAACAAACTAAAAGGAAACATTGTTTCTTTTAACTGGGGAAATAAACGAAAAGGAAACTTTTTTTCTTTTAGCTGGGGGGAAAGGCACAGCCGATTCTCTGAGCTATAGTGAAGAAAAAAAAAAAAAAAGCTGGTAATTACATTTAAAAACCAGCACTGGCCTATAATGACAGCGACTTTTTTTTACTTCTGGAACGGATTAATTGGTATTCAATGCAGTCCTATGGGAAACCGCATTTCAGTTTACGAATTGTCCTGTTCAATGCACCACATTCGTAAAGTGTGTGTGTGTGTGTGTGTGTATAAAAAGAATAAAACGGGAGGATTTTTTAGAGAATATAACAAAATTACTCTTACTGTAGTACAACTTCCATACTTTTATCTTCTTTCTGGCAAGATCCCAAAGAATGCAAAGTGCCAAAATCTCTAAAGAAGTATATTACCCAACTTTTCCCCTTCACTTAACTAAAGTGCTTTGGAATGGGAGAACATAGATAGATAAATTATCAGACCTTGATTACTTTTGCACAAGGTTCACCTAAAAGGTCCCAATCTGATTATACAATCTCCTTTAAATCTACCAAAAACTAATGTCGTGCAAGGGCCTGTCTGATTGGATAGGTCCTCATATTACATAGTTTTGGTAAATCTAAAGTTGCTTGTACAAAGATTGTATGAATACTCTAAGACAAATTTATCTGTAAGCTTGTCTTCCCCAAGCAAAGACATTTCTGCACTTTCCGTCTCTTCTCAATTGCCAGTTTCTTAATCTTCTTGAACAGTCCCCATATTCCTCATTCAAATATTTGGTACATAGCATCGATACACCTCCCAGACATGTGCAATGAAGTTTCCTTATCTTGGTCCTTTAGCTCGCTTCTTCTTCATTCTTCCAGATGGCGAGAGTGTACACTGCAATTTGCATGTGCCACAGGCAGTGTAAACTAAAATACTATATGAATAAACAGCAGACATCAACCAAACCATTTAAAAAATTACCAAATGATATATATTTTGATATATGCTGGATTTTACTTAATACAGTTTAAATAAAGCACATAATAACTTTGTGTAATCTAAACTAAAGGTTCTTCTTTACAAAAATAGAAAGGCAACAGCAACTTAAATGTTGATTAGTCAGGTTTTAGGATACTAACAAACACAAAAAGGTCTCCAATAACAGAAAAATGTAAGACTATTAATTGTTCTCCATAAGTCCTGGAGCTACAGTGTTTGTAAAAGGGTCAAATATGAATATCATTGAAAGAAGATTCATTTATGTGCAATAATCCAGTTCATTTTAATGACAATATAGCTCTCATGCCTTGGGGGAAGTGTTAAAAAATATTAAAATAATACCGTGTCAAATTATTTTATGTTACCTCCATATGAAGCAATGTGCTTTAGGGCATTTGAAATGCTTACAACATGAATACTGAAATATTTCCAGAAGCTGAAAGGGCCAGCAGAAATCCTTATACTTTCCACTAAAAGAAAAAAACTCAGTTGTGACCACATGAATTTCAGATGTTGTTGCAGCATTTGCAAGAAAAATAAGCAACGCAGATGCACCGTTCACTGAAAGCTTTCCTGGTTTGTGCACTCTGATGCTAATGGCATCTTTGAAAGCATGTTTTTTTGTGGAATGATATATGGTTATTAAGAATCATTATGACGACTCTTCTACTGTAATCATCTCAAACTTTCCAGTGTCTTTGTCAGTGCAAGTTACATGTAATGATCCATCTCTGTAAAAAGATAAAAACAATGGGGAAAATAATAATTTGCATCATCAAAATACTGCTGTAGTCCCATATGTTCCATTCATACAAGTACTGTACATATGAATACAGATTATAGGTTCAAGCTTGCTTGACATCTCACTGCCCTGGCATTAGTAAGGTTGTATAATGCTAACATTCTCCGGGAGGACAACCTATGTACCACTGTGCAGCAGACGCATGCCAGGTATTGCAGATAGCTAGTTTCTAGGGAATGCTGCCTGATCTTGCAGGGCAGCGAGACTGAAATCTGTATTTACATATATTATTTTTTTTTTTTTTATCAGGACAGCATATGAACTTTTTTTTAATGGGAACTGCATTTATCCTTTAACCCTAGCAATGATGCAATACTAGACTGTTATAATAAAACAGTATATTCATTTTTTGAAACATCCATATTTCTAACACCAATTAAAACTGCACTTATATTTTCACAAGCCATGATAACAAGTGGACCTTTATCCCCAACCAAAAAAAAAAAATCATGGTGAATGCATCTTTTCATGTGCATCCCAAAACACTATTTTGCATTTGCAGCCAAAAACTGCTTTTTGTTAAACTTACTAAGTCTGTTTAAGAATTCCAGCCTTCTTGATACTTGGAAGAGGTGAGCCCCTAAACCCCTACACTTAGGGGTGTATTTATTAAAAAAAAAAAAAAAAAAAAAATGTAAGGCAAATGTCATTTTGTATATTTATTCGCCCAGCCATCACAAATTCTCACTGTAATTTGCCTAGTACATTTTTTGCTACAATCTAGTGGCCATAATGTAGTATCTTCCCGATTGAGGTGTTTTAGCAAAATACTACATTTGGCCACTAAATGAAGCTGAAATAAAAGGAAATAATATATAAGATAAAATATGGTGACATATCTGTGGTGGCTTGATGAATGCTTGTGAAATTAATCCTGCAATTTATTTATTATTTTTTTTTAATAAATACACCCCAAACAAAGGCCAGAAAATAAAAAAAAAAAAAAAAAAAAACACTTTCTTTTGAGCAGATTACACCCAACCTTGCCTGGACCACATAGGAACATACTCACCAGCCACTTTATTAGGTACACCTATTCAACTGCTTGGTAACACAATTTGCTAAATCAGCCAATCACATGGCAGCAACTCAATGCATTTAGGCATGTAGGTGTGGTGAAGACGACTTGCTGAAGTTCAAACCGAGCTTTAGAATGAATGTGAACATGGTTGTTGGTGCCAGATAGGCTGGTCTAAGTATTTCAAAAACTGCTGATCTACAGGGATTTTCACGTACAATCATCCCTAGGGTTTACAGAGAATGGTCCGAAAAAGAGAATATATCCAGTGAGTGGCAGTTGTGTAGATGAAAATGCCTGGTTGATGTCAGAGGAGAACGGGCAGACTGCTTGCTGCAACATTCAGATGGTAGGGTCAGAATTTGGCATAAAAAAACATGAGAGCATGGATCCATCCTTGCCTTGTGTCAATGATTCAGGCCTTTGGTGGTGTAATGGTGTGGGGGATATTTTCTTGGCACTAGCAAGGTTTACCTAAAAAAGTGGCCGGTGAGTGTATATGCAACAATAACTCTGTTCATTTGCTTGTGAACTTTGTGCCATTAGAGCAGGTCTAGCATTGTTAAAACCATACAATTACTGGACCTCTTCCTGACTTTTGCTCCCTCACAGCTATTTTTGCCCTCAAACTTGAAGGTATAAAAATATAACTTGGAATACAAGACACCTCATCAAAATACCCAATATATGAAAGCCAGCTCTTAGAGCTATTCACAGCTACACAGAATTTCAAAAGGAGTATGGAAAAAAAATATTTATGTATGCTTTATAGTATGTGGGTGGGTGGGTGAATCCGGGGGATTTTTTATAGCTTGCCAAAAGCTCAGGCTTATCTGCTCTTTGCAGTAGTTCCTTAACCACTTCCCCTCTGGAGCAATTTTTTTTTTCATTTTTCACTTACATTAAAAATCTGCTTTTATGGCTAGAAATGTCTTAACCCCCTGAAATGTGATATATTTTCTAAAAGCAGAGGCTCTGTAGAATAAAAAGGACAGTAGTTACAATTTTCCCGGTGTATTTTTACAACTGCTTACCGAATCTAGAGTTATAGAAATCGATATACTGAAATCAATTTTAGTGAGCACAAACAAAATTTATTTTCCAAATGTTTTAAAATGTTTAAAAAAAAAAAGATGGCATTGTCTCAACAGATACCAAATGTATTAGGCCTCACAACGGCATACATCCGTGAATCGACAAAAAATTGCTACCAAAAATTATCAATAGGAGATGCTTTAAAATGTCTTTACAGCATGTCAATTTAGAGCCAACTGTAAAAGAGGGGCCTAAATTATTTCTCTCACCGTGTCGCCTGTGGCAATACCATACAGCTGTGGCCAAAATTTTTGAGAATGACACATATTAAATTTTCACAACGTCTGCTGTTTCAGTGTTTTTACATCTTTTTGTCAGATGTTACTATGGTATACTGAAGTATATTTACAAGCATTTCATAAATGTCAAACTTTTTTATTGACAATTACATTAAGTTTATGCAGAGTCAATATTTGCAGTGTTGACCCTTCTTTTTCAAGACCTCTGCAATTCGCTCTGGCATGCTGTCAATCATCTTCTGAGCCCCATTCTGACTGATGGCAGCCCACTCTTGCATAATCAAAGCTTGGAGTTTGTCAGAATTTGTAGGGGTTTTTTTTTTTTACCCGCCTCTTGAGGATTGACCACAAGATCTCAATCGGATTAAGGTCTGGGAGAGTTTCCTGGCCATGGACCCAAAATTTCAATGTTTTGTTCCCCAAGCCACTTAGTTTTTCACTTTTGCCTTATGGCAAGGTGCTCCATAATGCTGGAAAAGGCATTGTTCGTAAACTGTTCTTGGATGGTTGAGAGAAGTTGCTCTCTGAGGATGTTTTTGTACCATTCTTTATTCATGGCTGTCTTCTTTCTTAGGCAAAATTGTGAGTGAGCCCACTCCCTTGATTGAAGGGTCTCAGGATGCTTCACTGTTGGCAGGACACAGAACTGATGGAGGCACTCACCTTTTCTTCTCCTGACAAGGGTTTTTCCGGATGCCCCAAACAATTGGAAAGGGGATTCGTCAGAGAAAATCACTTTACCCCAGTCCTCAACAGTCCAATCCCTTTACCGTTTGCAGATTATCAGTCTGTCCCTGATGTTTTTCCTGGAGAGAAGTGGCTTCTTTGCTGCCCTTCTTAACACCAGGGCATCCTCCAAAAGTCTTCACCTCATTGTATGTGCAGATACACTCACACCTGCCTACTGCCATTCCTAAGCAAGCTCTGCACTGTTGGTTCCCCCGATCAACGTGAGGAGACAGCTCTGGCACTTGCTGGACTTTCTTGGGCACCCTGAAGCCTTCTTTACAACAATTGAACCTCTCTTCTTGAAGTTCTTGATGATCGAATAAATGGTTGACTTAAGTGCAATCTTATTAGCAGCAATATCCATGTCTGTAAATCCCTTTTTGTGCAAAGCAATGATGTCTTCACGTTTCCTTGCCTTTCCATGGTTAACAGAGGAAGAACAATGATTTTAAGCACCACCCTCTTTTAAAGCTTCTAGTCTGTTATTGTAACTCAATCAGCATGACAGAGTGATCTCCAGCCTTGTCCTTGTCTACACTAACACTTGTGTTAACGAGAGAATCACTGACATGATGTCAGCTGGTCCTTTTGTGGCAGGGTTGAAATGCAGTGGAAATGTTTTTTGGAATTAAAGTTCCTTTTCATGGCAAAGAAGGACTTTGCATATACTCCTAGAATGTTATGAAGAGTTATCAGATGAATTGCAATTAATAAAAACTGACGCAGCAGACTTTGTGAAAATTAATATTTGTGTCATTCTCAAAACTTTTGGCCACGACTGTATGTTTTGCACAACTGTTATTGACATATATGTGTGTGTTCATGGCTCGATAGGGTGCTTTAAATTATTTTTTGTTTTGGATTTTTTCTTTATTTTATTCTACTTTACATTTTGTAACACTTTTTTTTTTGTTTTAAAATTTACATTTACTGCTATCACAACTGTTAAGCCATCTAGACAACTTCTGATTGGTCAGTACTGTCAGCACTGCAAGGAGAGGAGAGAAAGTGAAGAGGATTTCATATTCCTGGACCTGTGAGGAGGCTTTTCATTGTCTGACAGCAGGGGATTGGCAATCTGGTACGGTGGGACCCAGAGGCGATGGGGAGGGGGTCCAGTGGATGGCTGGAATCGCTAGAGGCTGGGGAAAAAGTGAGCTAAGAGAGGCAGGAAGAACCCAAGTTACAGCCGCTGATGTCCACAAGGATGTGTCTTAACAGTGGGAGAAGGCTGGGCTTAATGTCATTGGCTCCAAAAAGAAGATTTACATAGTTTCTTGTAGGCACTTCAGTGCTGATGGTAGTTTAGACACATTTTAGACTAGGTTAGGTTCACTTTAGGACTGACCAGGTCATACAGCTGTCATAAGATAAGGCTAAGGAAATATTATATATTTAGGTCCATATATATTTGGATACAGGCACAATTTTCATACTTTTGGCTCTGTATGAATTCAAATGAAACAATCCAAATAAATTTGAAGTGCAGACTTTCAGCTTTAATTCAAGGGGTTGAACATAAATATCAAGTATAAATTTTAGGAACTGCAACCATTTTTATACACAGTCCCTCCATTGTCAGGGGCTCAAATGTAATTGGACAAATTAATATAATCATAATAAATCTGGCAAAGACTGCCTGAAGTCTGGAACCCATGGACATTACCAAAGACTGGGTTTCCTCCTTTCTGATGCTTTGCCAGGCTCTAACTGCAGCTGTCTTCAGTTGTTCTTTGTTTGTTGGTCTTTCTGCCTTTAGTTTTGCCTTCAGCAAGTGAAATTGGGTTGTGATCAGGTGAATGACTCGGCCATTGCAGAATATTCCACTTTTTTTCCTTCAAAAGCTCCTGAGTTGCTTTTGCAGTGTGTTTTGGATCATTGTCCATCTGTACTGCGAAGTGCCATCCAATCAACTTTGCTGAATTTGTCTGAATCTGGGTTGACAGTATATCTGTAAACACCGCATAATTAATCCGGCTGACCCAGTGCCACTGGAAGCCATGCATGCCCATGCCATCCTACTGCCTCCACCATATTTTATAGATGACGTTGTGTGCTTTGGATCATGAGCTGTTCCAAGCCTTCTCCACACTTTTTTCTTCCTGTCATTCTAGTACAAATTAATCTTAGATTCATCCGTCCAAAGAATGCTTTTCCAGAACTGGTCTGGCTTTTTTTGGATTTTTTTTTTGGCAAAGTCTAATCTGGCTTTTCTGTTCTTCAGGCTTATGAATGCTTTGGCACCTTGTGATGAACCCTCTGTATTTGCTCTCGTGAAGTCTTCTCTTGATTGTAGACTTTGACAATGATACGCACACCTTCTGGAGTGGAGAGTGTCCTTCATTTATCTGGATGTTGTGAATGGGTTTTTCTTTACCACAGAGAGGATCCTGTGATCATCCACCACTGTTGTCTTCTGTGGACGTCCATGCCTTTCTATGTTGCTGAGCTCACCAGTGCGTTCTTCTTTCCTCAGAATGTACCAAACTGTTGATCTGAGAACTCCTAATGTTGTTGCTATCTCTCTGATGGATTTATTTTGTTTTTGAAGCCTTACAATGGCCTGTTTCACTTGCATGGACAGCTCCTTTGAATGCATGATGTAGGTTTACAGCAATAGATTCCACATGCAAATACCACACTTAGAATCAATTCCAGACCTTTTACCTGCTTAATTGATGAAGAAATAATGGAGTAGCCCACAGCTGGCCAAGAAACAGCTTTTGATTAAATTGTCCAATTACTTTTAGTCCCTTGAAAAAAGGGGAGATAGCTTCTCTTAAGAGCTGTAATTCCTAAACCTTCCTCCAATTTGGATGTACATACCCTCACACACACACCCCCACCCCCCCCACCCCCCCCCACCCCCCCCCCCCCCACCCCCCCCCCCCCCCCCCCCCCCCAGTCCCCTCTAGCACAGAACTCTCAGCTGTCATGGATGTATACATGTGGGCATTAAGGCATGCTCTTCTTGCTGTCGCACATATGTGTTTCATGGTTGGCAAGAGGATAATAAATAAAATACATAAAGTGCCACAATGGCAACTACTTTAAAGTATTTTTTAAATTGTGTCTGAAAACCCACATAAAACATTTGGATCATGTAGGAGTAAACACAATGGTCATATGATAGCATCCTAAACACATCTTCCATCTTACCCATCCCAGCCAACTTCTCAGCCGTTTGGAACTAAATATACCTTATTAAATAATAGAATTTGCATACACTAGTAACCGTAAGCTAAAGTACCAGAGAAGAGACATCTTTCATGTCTTTGTATTGCACTATATGCTGCATTTACTTACTTGTGCAAATTTACTGCTGTCTGATATATTTTTGATTTAGGAACAGACTCGTACAACTCCAAACACACGGAGGTGATGCTTCCCGATGCCTGTAGTGTGTGCTGCCTACGAGCAGGAAGTGGTGTTCCTGAAGGCAGCAACAAGGTGAACTTCTCAGCTCCAGACTCATCAGCTTCCTGTGAAGACATACAGTTTTCAGATATAAGCATCTCAATTCTCATATAATGAATTATCAACCAACAAGTCTGAAAGTGCAAGACCAAATCGGAGTGTTAAATCTAGCTATTCTAGATACTAGGATGATGCGTTGAATTTCAGCATTCTACCACCACCCAACAGCAAAAATGAGAGTAAATGGAAGCCTGTCCCCTCTTTTTGAGCTATTTAATGGCCCCCAGGTAAGGATGTCTGTTTTTCACCAATGCCTTTTGTGATAGCTCTGGAACTCTTACTGTCCATGATTTGGAAGAGCGTGGACATTGAGGGGGGCGAGACTAGGAAGGATTATAAAGTGGCTGCGTGCGCAGACGATATACTAGTCTAGTCTATATTACTAGTCTAGTCTATATTACTAGTCCAAGGATTACGTTACCAGTGGTGCTAGAGTAGTTAAGGTGATACGGGAAACTATTGAACTTCAAAATTAATAAATCTAAAGCTGGCCATACACATGTAGATTTTAGGACGAGAAAACTCGTAAGAAAAGTCATACGAAAATTCTTTGAACATTCAATGAATGGATGAATGTAATTCCAAAATTGTCTTTTGCTTTTAACATTCAATTTTAAAATGAATGTATTTCTGAACGATAACCACATGCACGGGCTGAAAATGCATTTGAAGAAGAGTATCCCTTCCTGCCCCTTTGAAATTTTCCCGTCACTGCTGTCGAAAACAAACATCGATTTTACTCCACTAACAATTAGAAAATGAATATTCCTGAAACAAAAATTCTAGAAAGAAAAAAATCTATGTATGGCCAGCTTAAGCCAGAGATTTTGAACATAACAGTGCCACGGAAAGAGCATTGGGCAATACAGCCTCAGCTTCTCTTTGCATTGTGTAAGGAGGAATTAGGGTGCATCAAAATTAAATTACCATCATCTGTCACGGCCCTGTATACAGCTAACTATACCTTCTACTTAACACGATTAAAGACAGTCTAAACTCCTTGAGATATAGGCCCCTTTCGTGGCTAAGCAAAATAAATGCACTAAAAATGATTATTTTGCCTAAGATAATATACAGTGGGGATCGAAAGTTTGGGCACCCCAGCTAAAAATTTGTATTAATGCGCATAAAGAAGCCAAGGAAAGATGGAAAAATCTCCAAAAGGCATCAAATTACAGATTAGACATTCTTATAATATGTCAACAAAAGTTAGATTTTATTTCCATCATTTACACTTTCAAAATAACAGAAAACAAAAAAATGGCGTCTGCAAAAGTTTGGGCACCCTGCAGAATTTATAGCATGCACTGCCCCCTTTGCCAAGCTGAGACCTGCCAGTGTCATGGATTGTTTTCAATCATGGTCTAGGAAGACCAGGTGATGTCAATCTCAAAGGTTTTAAATGCCCAGACTCATCTGACCTTGCCCCTACAATCAGCACCATGGGTTCTTCTAAGCAGTTGTCTAGAAAACTGAAACTGAAAATAGTTGACGCTCACAAAGCTGGAGAAGGCTATAAGAAGATAGCAAAGCGTTTTCAGATGTCAATATCCTCTGTTCGGAATGTAATTAAGAAATGGCAGTCATCAGGAACAGTGGAAGTTAAAGCAAGATCTGGAAGACCAAGAAAAATATCAGACAGAACAGCTCGCAGGATTGTGAGAAAAACAATTCAAAACCCACGTTTGACTGCACGATCCCTCCAGAAAGATCTGACAGACACTGGAGTTGTGGTACACTATTCCACTATAAAGAGATACTTGTACAAATATGGTCTTCATGGAAGAGTCATCAGAAGAAAACCTCTTCTACGTCCTCACCACAAAAATCATCGTTTGAACTTTGCAAATGAACATATAGACAAGCCTGATGCATTTTGGAAACAAGTTCTGTGGACCAATGAGGTTAAAATTGAACTTTTTGGCCGGAATGAGCAAAGGTACATTTGGAGAAGAAGGGGCACAGAATTTAATGAAAAGAACCTCTGTCCAACTGTTAAGCATGGGGTTGGATCAATCCTGCTTTGGGGTTGTGTTGCAGCCTGTGGCACAGGGAACATCTCACGAGTAGAAGGAAAAATGGATTCAATAAAATTTCAGCAAATTTTGGATGGTAACTTGATGCCATCTGTGAAAAAGCTGAAGTTAAAGAGAGGATGGCTTCTACAAATAGATAATGATCCTAAACACACCTCGAAATCCACGGGGGATTACATCAAGAGGCGTAAACTGAAGGTTTTGCCATGGCCTTCACAATCTCCTGACCTCAACATAATTGAAAATCTATGGATAGACCTTAAAAGAGCAGTGCATATCTTCATTTATCTAATGGCATATTGCCCCATTTTAGCTTTAATTCAAAGAAAGTGCATAACCTATTCCCTTTCATCACATTCTGTAACTGTACCACCTCTTACACCAAGATATTAACTCTGCAGGATGCCCAAACATTTGCAGACGCCATTTTTTTGTTTTCTGTTATTTTGAAAGTGTAAATGATGGAAATAAAATTAACTTTTGTTGACATATTATAAGAATGTCTAATCTGTAATTTGATGCCTTTTGGAGATTGTTCCATCTTTCCTTGGCTTCTTTATGCACATTAATACACATTTTTAGCTGGGGTGCCCAAACTTTCGATCCCCACTGTATAACTTCCAAATGCTTTCAATCATCCTCCCTTAGGAATATTTTAGATCTGAGATCTATCATAGTAAAATACATATGGGTACTTAGGAGACCAAGGATCTTTCATGCCATATTGACAAAAGAGAAAAAAAAAGCAGGGGGGTTAGCGGTACCTGATTTTAAAAAGTATTATTGGGTGGTCACTATTACACAAATAGTACATTGGATACATAATAAGGAAGGTAAAAGCTGGGCAGGGATAGAGAATGCACAAAGTAAAGTGAATTTAGGTAAGATGGTTAGGATCCCATGGAGGTATAGAGATTTAGCAAATAGCACAAACCCAGATTAGTAATGTGTTCAGAATATGGGATGGCCTTTGTAGGCACTATCACCGGGAGCACAATTCACCTTTAAATTCATTGTTAGACACAAATTACTTTACATCGTGGAAGGAGAATTATTTATATGTTGTTAGATGGGCAAAAAAAGAGGTGGTACAGTTACAGGATGTGATGAAAGGGAATAGGTTATGCACTTTCTTTGAATTAAAGCTAAAATGGGGCAATATGCCATTAGATAAATGCAGATATGCACAAATACAACATTTTGCACAGACAATGCCAAGACCAGTATGGGGAAAGATAAGCTGAGATTAATAGAGAGGTTACTTGGCTCTCCTTGTATTAAGCACAGTACTGCAAAAGGATATAGGGTGTTGGTGAAAGAGGGGGAACTGGAGTGTCCACCTTATCTTGGGAAATGGAAGTGGAACTAGATGAGAATCAGAGGAGGAAGGTCTTAAAATTAGGATGTTTCTCATTAACTGATCCTAAGACGATGGAAATGTACTTTAAACTTTTTGCTAGGTGGTATGTGACCTTGTTGAGGGCACAGAGGTTTGGGGCAGATGTGTCCGCACTATGTTGGAGGGGATGTGAGGCGCCAGGAACATTCGCTCATCTGCGGTGGGAATGTACAAGGATAAAGGCCTTCTGGGAGGGGTTTGCTAAGGCAACCCATGAAATAACAGGAGAATATATACAGGTTGAGCCTTGGAAATGTCTGTTTCACAGCACAGTATAAGATTTCTTTGGTTCATCACTAAAAGCCTGATCTCCAAATATTGGTGAACACATAAAATTCTAAGTTTGAGAGAATGGGTTTTAGGGGGGCACACAATTTTAGTGGTGGTGGTGGTGGTGGGGTGATGACTGATCTGTGTAGCTGCCCATTGCTGGTACCATGTGACCAATCACAGCCGGTCACATGACAATTGTAAACAATGGATGGCTTCCTTTCATGCCAACCATTGTATACAATTGTGTTGCTAGTTGGTACAGATGGGGCCAATCACAGCCCATCTGTGTCATGTAATTAGCTGTGTGTATATATATATTCATTCCCCCCCCCTTCACACACAGTCACCAGTCAGTGTCCCTGATTACCACCACACCAGTTAATATGATGATGCTGCACTACACTGGTGACAATAAAAAAAAAAAAAACTGAAGTAAATGTTTCTTTTAATTTCTTCATTTTCCAAACAAACAATTGTGGCAAATAATTACGTAAAAAAACTCACCATGTCTCTTACTAAATACTGCAGACTGTTTACTTTCCAAAAAGGAGTAATTTGGGGGATATCTGTACTGTCCTGACATTTTTGGGCCTCAAGAAATGAGACAGAAATGGCGTCCGTACATCAGGATTGATCGATTTTCAGATATATACCATAGTTTGTGGACTCTATAAAAAACTTTCCTACAGACTAAATATACACTAATTTTCTTTATTATTTTCAACAAAGAAATGAAGCGGTATACATTTTGGCGTAAATTTATGAAGAACAAGTATTTATTTGCAAAATTGTATAACAGAAAAAGAAAAAACACATGTTTTTTCTTTTTGCAAAGTTTTCATTCTTTTTTCATTTATTTAACAAAAAATAAAAAACCAAGTGGTGATTAAATACCACCAAAAGAAAGCTCTAATTCTGTGAACAAAATAACAATTTATTGCATGATCACGCAATTGTCATTCAAACTGAGAGCGCTGAAAAATGGCCTGGGCAGGAAGGGGGTAAAAGTGCCAGGTATTGAAGTGGTTAAAGTAAGCTAGTGCTTTTCCTGTTTGGCTCAAAGAAACAGTTATTTCTTAAAATCCAGCCTCATAAGCTACTTTCCTTTTGCCGTGGTTTGTCTGCAGGAATGAAGAGTAACCCCATATAATTCCAAAAACAATGTTCTCCCACCTCAAAGTGACAGCACTAGTGCCTAGTGATTAAGTGGTCAGGTATACAGCACTGCACCATAGTAGCAAGCCGAATGTCTCTCGTTATAACTGGAAGTACAAAGTACAGGCGTACCTCAGTTTAC